AATTGTGAATGGTATTGTGTTCTTGAGTTCTTTTTCTGTTATTTCGTTATTAGAGTGTAGAAATGCTACTGATTTATGTAACTTGATTTTGTACCCTGCAACTTTGTTGTAGTTGTTGATTATTTCTAAAAGTTTTCCAATGGATTCTTTAGGGTTTTCTATATATAAGATCCTGTTGTCTGCAAACAGCTAGAGTTTCACTTCTTCCCTTCCTATTTGGATTCCTTTTATTCCTTTCTCTTGCCTAATTGCTCTGGCCAAAACCTCCAATACTATCTTGAATAAGAGTGGTGATAGAAGGCATCCTTGTCTCATCCCTGTTTTCAGGGGGATGGCACTCAGTTTTTGCCCATTGAGTATGATGTTGGCTGTGGGTTTGTCATATATGGCCTTTATTATGTTGAGGTACTTTCCTTCTATCCCCATTTTGTTGTGAGTTTTTATCATAAATGGCTGTTGGATCTTGTCAAGTGCTTTCTCTGCATCTGTTGAGATGATCATGTGGTTTTTATTCCTCAATATGTTGATGTGGTGTATCATGTTGATTGATTTGTGGATGTTGAACCATCCCTGTTTCCCTGGTATGAATCCCACTTGATCATGATGTATGATCCTTTTGATGTATTGCTGAATTTGGGTCGCCAACATTTTACATCTATGTTCATCAGTGATATTGGCCTGTAGTTCTCCTTTTTCTTGCTGTCCTTGTCAGGGTTTGGTATCAGAGTGATGTTGGCCTTGTAGAATGTGTTAGGGAGTATTCCATCCTCCCTAATTTTTGGAATAGCTTGAAAAGTATACGTATTAAATCCTCCTTGAAAGTTTGTTAGAATTCCTCAGGAAAGCCATCTGGTCCTTGGGTTTTATTCTTTGGGATGCTTTTCGTTGCAGTTTCAATCTCTTTCCTTGTGATTGGTCTGTTCAGATTGTCTGCTTCTTTTTGACTTAGCTTTTCAAGATTGTAAGAGTCTAAGAATTTATCCATTTCCTCTAGGTTATCCATTTTGTTGGTATATAGTTTTTCATAGTATTCTCTTATAATCCATTGTATTTCTGTGGAGTCTGTTGTTATTTCTCCATTTTCATTTCTGATTTTATTTGAGCTTTCTCTCTTTTTTTCTTTGTAAGTATAGCTAGGGGTTTGGCAATTTTATTTATCTTCTCAAAGAACCAGCTCTCTGTGTCATTGATCCTTTCTACTGCCTTTTTTGTTTAAATAGCATTTATTTCTGCTCCAATTTTTTATTATTTCTCTCCTTCTGCTGACTTTGGGCTTTGTTTGTTCTTCTTTCTCTAATTCAGTTAGGTGTAGTTTGAGATTGCTTATTTGGGATTTTTCTTATTTGTTAAGGTGTGCCTGTATTGTGATGAATTTCCTTCTTAATACAGCTTTTGCTGTATCCCATATGAGTTGGTATGGCATGTTACCATGTTCATTTGTATCCAGATATTTTTTGATTTCTTCTTTAATTTCTTCAGTGATCCATTGCTTGTTCAATAGCATATTGTTTAGTCTCCACATCTTTGTCCCTCTCTCAGCTTTTTTGTTGTAATTAATTTCTAGCTTTATAGCATTATGATCAGAGAAGATGCTTGTTATTATTTCAATTTTTTTAAATTTGTAGAGGCTTGCCTTGTTTCCCAACATATGGTCTACCTTGAGAATGGTCTGTGTACGCTTGAGAAGAATGTGTATTCTGCTGTTTTTGGATGGAGTGTTCTATATATGTCTATTGAGTCCAGCTGTTTTAGCTTTTCATTTAATTACACTGTTTCCTTGTTGATTATCTGTCTGGATGATCTGTCCAATGATGTGAGTGGGGTGTTGAGGTCCCCTACTATTATTGTATTATTTTTGATATCTTCTTTTAGGTTTGTGAATAGTTGCTTTATGAACTTTGGTGCTCCCTTGTTGGTTGCATAGATATTTATGTGTTATTTCTTCTTCATGTAGTGTTCCTTTGATCATTATATACTGCCCCTCTTTGTCTCTCATTACTTGCTTTATCTTGAAATCTATTTTGTCTGATATAAGTATTGCAACACCTGCTTTCTTTTGTTTGCCATTAGCTTGGAGTATTGTCTTCCACCACTTTACTCTGACCCTTTATTTGTCATTGGAGCTGAGGTGTGTCCTGGAGGCAACAAATTGTTGGATCTTGTTCTTTAATCCATCTTGCCACTCTGTGTCTTTTTATTGGCGAGTTCAATCCATTTACATTTAGGGTGATTATTGATGTATGAGGGCTTAATGCTGTCATTCTGTCACTTGTTTTCTGGTTTTCCTGCACTTCCTTTGTTTCTTGTCCTGTGTGTTTTAGTCTACCCATTGACTTCTGCAGTTTCTTATGCTATGTTTCTTAGTTTTTCCCTTATTTTTTGTGTCTCTGTTCTGCTTTTTAGTTTAGTGGCTACCCTAAAGTTTGTATTCAGAGTCTTGTGCATAACATAGTCCATTTTCTGATGGCCTATTTCCTTAGTCTAAACTGATTCAGTCCCTTTCCTCCTCCCCTCCTAAGTCATTATTTTCACATCTTATTCCAAGTTGTATTGTGAGTTTGTGGTTAAAGTGACAAGATTGTCTTTGTTTTTTGGTGTTTTCCTTCCATTTATCCTAATGCTATAGTTGATTATTTGCTATCCTATTCTGATTCTATTTGTCTCCTTACTCTGTGTTTTGTGACCCCTTTCTCCCTTTTTTTCTTTTTTCAGGTATGAAGGCTGTCTTGAGGATTTCTTTTCGGCGGTTGGGAGGGGGGCCTCGTGGCTGTGAAGTCCCTTAGCTTTTGTTGGTCTGGGAAAGATTTAATCATTCCATTCTCTCCTATCTTGTAAGGTTTCTGCAGAGAAATCCACTGAAAGCCTGTTGGGGTTCCTTTGTAGGTTATTTTCTTCTGCCTTGCTGCCCTGGGTATTCTTTCTTTCTCATTCAGTTTTGCCAGTTTTACTACTATATGCCTTCCAGTAGGTATTTTTACATTGACAAATCTAGGAGATCTGAAATCTTTCTCCACACACATTTCTCTCTCATTCCCTAGATTTTGGAAGTTCTCTGCTATTATTTCTTTGAACATACTTTCTGCTCCATTCTCCTTCTCTTCACCTTCTTGGATACCTATAATTCTTATATTGCATTTCCTCATTGCATCAGCTATTTCTTGGAGGTTTTCTTCATTTCTTTTTAGTCTTAGTTCCCTCTCCTCCTCTGTCTGGAGACATTCAACATGTCTATCTTCGATTATGCTGATTTGCTCCTCTATGGTGTCCACACGAGCATTCAGGGAATCCGTATTTTGTTTTATCTCTTCCATTGTATTTTTCATCTCTAGTATTTTTGATTGATTCTTCTTTATAGTTTCAATCTCTTTTGTAAAGTAGCTCCAGAACTCGTTGAATTGTTTCTCTGTATTTTCTTTAACCTCATTGAGTTTTTTGACGGTAGCTATTCTGAATTTATTGTCGTTTAGTTTACTTCTTTCTGAGTCTTCAGGACATAATTCTGGGTATTTATTGTTTTCCCTCTGGTCTGGAGATTTGATGAATTGCCAGATGCTGGAACTACGGGTCTTGCCCATTGTGATGTTATTCGGTTGCAGTTACAGCCTATCACCACTAGATGGGGATCAAGAGCCACATAGTCTGAGCCCTCGGCCTTCAGCCGACATGGCATGGCACAGCATGGGTTGGGCGTGGCACTTTCTCTTTTGTGCAGACCAGGGTTTCCCGATCAGCTCTTGCCATCTGGTCTCCTGGGGTCTTGGCTTGATGAGGTCATGCCAGGCGAAAGCTTTTGCCCCATTAGAGGGCTTCCCTCTAGGTTGCAAAGGTGCTGACCCTGCAGACCTGCAACCCCTCCCCCACTCCTTCCCTCATGGGGCCTTTGGTGGCAGCCGTCCCAGTCTTTAGGGGAGGGAGTGAAGTTCTCTCTTACCTCATTCCAGCTCCTACAAGGGGCACTCCAGCCTCTCCGCCCTCTGTTGTTTGGCTGCTGTGGGTCTCCGAGGATTCCTGTGCTATTTGGATATTTTTTGTTGGAATATGGCTGCTCCTTTTTGTTGTATGTTGGAGGGAACAGAGTCCTGGGCAAGCTCACTCTGCCATAATGCTGATGTCACTCCTTCTCCCTCATTCTTGAAAGATAGTTTTGCTATATATAGGATACTCAGTTCACAGTTTTTTCTTTGAGATTTCCTTGTATGTGTGAATCACTTCTCTCTTACTGCTTTCAAGAGTCTCTCTTTATCTTTCGCTTTTGAAAGTTTAATTATGTGTCTTGGTGAGGATATCTTTGAGTCATCTTACTTGGAGTTTGTTGAACTTCTTGGATGTTTGCATTAATGTCTTTCATCAAATTTGAGAAGTTTTCAGCCATTATTTCTTGAGATATTCTTTCTGCCTCTTTCTCTCTCTCTTCTCCTTCTGGGGCTTCCACCATCTGTATGTTGGTCTACTTGCTGGTGTACTACAGGTCTCTTAGGCTTGTTCATTTTTTTCAGTCTTTTTTTCTTTCTATTCCTCAGACTCAACAATTTCCATTGTTCTATCTTCAAGTTTGCTGATTCTTCTGCCTGCTCAGCTCTGCTTTTGAATCCCTGTAATAAATTTTTCATTTCAGTTACTCTACTTTTCAGCTTCAGAATTTATATTAGGTTTCTCTTTAGATTTTCTGTCTCTTTATTGATATTTCCATTTTGTGTATATGTCATTTTCTTGAATTTCTCCACATCTTCCTTTAGTTCTTTGAACATCTTTAAGGTAATTGTTTTAAAGACTTTGTTTAAGATCTATCATCAGGTCTTTTTTCAGGTTCAGTTTATGTTGATTTATTTTTTCCTTTGAATAGGCCATATTTTTGTGTTTCTTTGTGTGCCTTGTGATTTTTTTTTGTTGAAAACTGGGCATTTGAACTTAATAATGTGGTAACTCTGGAAATCAGATTCTCCCCCTTCCCCAGCATTTACTGTTTTTTTAAAAATTGTTTTTGTTTTTGATTGTTGTAGGATGTTTCTACAGCCTACAAGGATCAGCCAAGGATCAGCCAAGGATCAGCCTGAAAATTTAAGGTCTTCTCAGGTATTTTCTGAGCCTGTGCCTTTCCCTGGGCATGCCTGGTCAATTTCTCATTTTCTTTGTATGTGTAGTTGTTTTTGAACGTCCTAGTCTTGAGGGTCTAGCTCCCAAAAGGGGAAAGGAGAACAATGTAGAGGGGAGGAAAAGGGCACTAGCTCTTTAAATGCCCTGGAAGTTACCTCAGCTAGAGGTGGAGCTTGCAACAATGTGAGGAGATGCAACAACAATGGCTGCCCTCTTGTTTGTCCACATCCCTGTGATCAGAAGTAGCAATCAACTATCAGAGCACAGATCTCCTATATTTGGAGGACAAAACCCTTTTTTCCCTACCCTGGCTCCTACAAGCTATGTGCAGTCTGTTTCTAGAACATGTGCAGAGATGCTTGCTACTGGGATTGGGGCGGGGGAATGGGTAGGTGCTACTGGGCTAAGAGCTAAATTGACCAAAAGGAACCATAATTTACCCTCCAAGGCTTTCCCTGGAAGTTGTAAGCCTTCAGTAGACTCCAGAGTTCCAAAATTATTAATGTGATTCTTCCAGTGCAATTGTTGTCTAGATGGGGAGACAGACTTCTAGTGTTTACTGCTCCACTTCTTCTTGGGATCCTCTCTGCCTACTGCAACTTTTTTAAGAACTCATAAGCTATAATGACTTCCTGACTTCTCTATTACTAATTTCTTCATATTATTAATAAAAATTATGATTATAATTGCTGATTTTGCTTTGCTCCTTAATAGTCAAGCTTCATCTCGTTTTTTGGGGGGACAATTTAATGCATGATTTATTGAGTAGTCAGCACTTTTAAGAGTTACAAACAAAGAAAAGATCTCTAATCATCTCTAAATCTATGTTAGGGACCTACGTAAATTTATGGATGAAACTCTGTCTCTCTGCATATTGATTAAGGAAAGCTTATTTGAAGTCATTGAATGAGGCAGGGATAGGTCATGGATTTTCAAGACTAACAGACATGGATTCAAGACTGGCTTAGTTAATCACTATTTGACCTTAAACCTTGAAGCTCAGTCTTCTAATCTCTAATATAAGCATATTAGTAACATCTGTCATGCAGGGTTGTTGTTTTAATTAGAAAAAAGAAACAAAGGAACATGTTAGGCAATCAATGATAGGTAACAATTTTTATTTTTATTATAATTATTTTGATACCAAATCTCATGTTCATTATTTGCTTTATGCAACTTTCTACTTAATTTTCATTGAGTTCTAGTGGGTTTCATAATGGAGTATATAAAGTAATTTTAAATATGCCCTTTTTCTTATTTTAGGACTTTCAAATGCCTTGGAAACAGGAGGCAGAATTTATAAAGAGGGATAAAGCTGCCAGAGTCATTCAGAAGGCCTGGAAAAGTTTCCTTGTGAGCTTCTTTTTTTGCAGCTTTATTGAGATATAATTTATATATCATAATGTTCACCTATTGAAAGTGTACAATTCAATAGTTTTTAGTGTTTACAAATTTGTGTACCATCTTTTGTTTTAGAAGCAGACATTTTTTAAAGGCTCAAAAAATTAACATTAATTAATGATCTCATTGGTCCACAAGTATTTACTGAGTTCCTGATCAGGGCCAGGCACATTGATGATGGTTACGATCAATGAAAGTATTACTAATAGGCTCATTTGACTTTCACCTCTAAAACTTTTTTTTTTTTGACTCAGGGAGCAGATTTGTGAGGTGTTAGGGATACATTCACCCATTAAATAATTATTGAGTACCTGCTCTTGAAGACGATACACTAAATCTGGATTAATGTAGTACTGCTAGATAAGTGCTTACTTACTGTGCTCTAGTATGGGTAGAGCTGGTCTCATTGGAATAAGGAATATTCCAAGTTGATTAACCTAGCTGGGCGAAAGCTAAGAGCTAAAATGACTTCACTGCTTTCTCTCTGATAGCAGCAACACTCTGTCTGTGCCTGCTGATTTTGTGTGAAGTGGTATGGCTCTGTTTCTGGCACACAAGAACACCTTTGGGGCGGGCCCAAAGGCCGATTGGTTGAGTTCACCCACTCTGCTTGGGTGACCCAAGATTTCACTGGTTTGGATCCTGGGCATGGACATGACACTGCTTGTCAAGCCATGCTTAGACAGTGTCCCACATAGCACAACCAGAGGCACTCACAACTAGAATATACAACTATGTACTTGGGGGGCTTTGGGGAGAATAAGAAAAAAAAAAAACAAGAATACCTCTGTATCAGTTAATCAAGTCTTGCAAAATAGCTTCCATTATTTGCCCCCTTTGCCTCTATGAAAGCCATAAAACCTAAGCTAGGGCATAACTCTTGATTTCCAACACAAAAATAATAGTTTTCTTTTAAAATCTACTATTTATTTGATGGTTTCTATTTGCATACTTGTCATCTAGGCTAAGCTTTTCTGTCATTTGTAACTTCTTTTATTCCACATCCGAATCTGATCAGCCACATACTTTTGAATACCTGTTATATTCCTAGCACTGTGCTAGGCTTTTTCCAATACATCCTTGCCCTTACAGAGCTTCAGTAGGGAAGCCATATATATACATAAACAAATGTTTGTGTGTGTGTATTTTAACAAGATGGTAGACTGAGCACATTTTTGCTTTATATCCCCCCAGACCCCGTTGAGATGACAATATACAGAAAGTAACTCATAACAGAGAGAATGGAGTTTATGAGCAGATTATCTCATTTCTAGAAAACCAAAAATAGATGGTAGCATCCTGTCGGACAAAACAGGATGTAGGAGACTTACCTAGATACGCTTCAAAGGGGCTCCAGTGGGAGAGCTGGTGTGTCTTTTGAACCTTAGAAATGATATCAATTAGGAGTTAGCAATTTAAAAGGGCTGGAAGGAGAATGACTGTAGACAAGGGCATTAATTGAAGGTCTGTACGTGGAATAGCCGTGCCAATTGTTGCTGCTGTCACTTCAAGCCCCAAAGCTGCAGGTAGATGGATATTTATCGTTAGTCAAATATCTGCTGGTAGATGGATATTTACTATTACCCATAAAAACCCTGAAGTCTTATCCCCTCTTTTAAAACAATCAAATGAACTATCTGGTAATGTTAGTTCTAGTGTGGATTTGGCACTCCACGGTAAATAAGAGAAAACTCTTAATTTTAGTATTTGAGAGACACTTTGCTTAATTGCTGGCTATCTGACCATGCTCCCTCTAATAAAGCCTATTGATTAACTTATTCTAGCCACATCACAAAGCTCCCAGGCAATGTTCCTACTCATGAAGACAATGGGAAAAGAGGAGACTTACACAAAGCACATGATACTCATACTAGCTCCCTAGAAAAATTGACACAGACCTTCATTCTTAAGAATTAATGTACAGGGGCTGGCCCCGTGGCCGAGTGGTTACGTTAGCGCGCTCCGCTGCAGGCGGCCCAGTGTTTCGTCGGTTCGAATCCTGGGCGCGGACATGGCACTGCTCGTCAGACCACGCTGAGGCAGCGTCCCACATGCCACAACTAGAGGAACCCACAACGAAGAATACACAACTATGTACCGGGGGGCTTTGGGGAGAAAAAGGTAAAAATAAAATCTTTTAAAAAATAAAAAAAAAAAAAAAAAAAAAAAAAAGAATTAATGTACAACCAAGGATCAGCTGACATTTAAGGAAAACCAAAGATGAAAAAAAGCAAAAAACAAAACCAGAAAGAAAAGAAAAATGAAGGTAATAAAAATAATAATTTAGATAAGATCAATATGTTGAATGGCTTCTAAGTGTTGTATCTGGAGGTAAAATGGTACCCCATGCAATAGAAGGTATGACTAAGAAGTTGAATTTAAAAAATGGTTAGAAACTCTTACTTCTAAGTAAAGATGCATAGTTTTAGCACGCTACTTGGCCTTATAAATGAATAATTTGCATAGTCAAACTAATGTAAATGCAGGTTTTTTCTATCATTTTAAATATTTTAATCAAAGAAATATGTGCCTTTTTTTTTTAAGATTGGCACCTGAGCTAACAACTGTTGCCAATCGTTTTTTTCTTTTTTTAGCTTTTTCTCCCCAAATCGCCCCAGTACATAATTGTATATTTTACTTGTGTGTCCTTCTAGTTGTAGCATATGGGATGCTGCCTCAGCATGGCCTAATGAGCAGTGCCATGTTCTCGCCCAGGATTCGAACCGGCGAAACCCTGGGCCGCTGAAGCAGAGCACATGAGCTTAACCACTCGGCCACAGGGCCGG